TTATAAATGGAGCATACCAAAGATTCGTGGGGGAAGAGAGAGAAAAGACACACGATATGCACTTAATAAAATGGTCTGTAATTCTTTGGCCCACTACAGGCAAAGTGCTCAGGGCATCGTGAAGCAAGTCTATTGTGAGCTTGGAATTCAGAGGTCTCTGCATGTGTGTGGGGAAAAGAGCTGCGTCTTTATTTTCACCCACCTCTAACTTAAAGTGATCATGTCCTAAAACTATGGGCCTAGGCATGAAACTCCATTGATAGTAGTACTACATGTGACTGTGTCGCCAATAAACATTTCGGTATCACATTACACTTCTATCACATTTCTCAAGAGTATCACTTATGCTCAACACTACTTTGAAACTATGGTAATTATTATACCCATCTTGCGATACTTATGTAAGGTTTAATAAAAAAACCTCATATCACAATATCTTTCTATCTTCTAAAAGTACAAAATGTCATTCCATACTATGCATTTTATAATCTTGTATTTAGTTATATATATTTATGTTAAAAATATCATTGTTCCTTATGGGATCCACTGGTTGTACCAGATACCAAAGGGATCCAAGGCACCAAAGGCTGGAGGATCCCTACCTGAAGGTTAGCACAGGGTCAACTTGATTGATTGAATTGAAGGATGCCTAGATAGCTGATAAAGTATTGCTTCTGGGTAAGGGTAAGGTCAGAGGAGACTGACGCTTGAGTCCGTGGACTGGAGATAAGACTCATCTCAATGTGGTTGGGCACCATCCAACCTGGCCAGCGGGGGCGGCAAGGCAGATGGAAGTAGGTGGGACAAGCTGGCTTGCTGAGTCATCTGGCTTTCATCCTTCTCCCATGCTGGATGCTTCCTTCTGTTCCTCCTGTTCTTGGACATCAGACTCCAGGTTCTTAGCCTTGGACTTTGGACTTACACCAGTGGTTTGCATGGGGCTCTCGGGCCTTGGGACACAGACTGAAGGCTACACTGTCATTTCCTTATGTTTGAGGCTTTGGACTCAGACTGATTAAATACTGGCTGCTTCCCCAGCTTTCAGACGGCCTGTCATGGGACTTCTGCCCTGTGATTCATTTCTGAGCCAATTCCTCCCTGATAAACCTCTTTCATACATATATATACATATGCATATACATACATATACATATGCATATGCATATACATATACGTGTGTGTGTGTGTGTGTGTATGTAGGATACATATATCCTATTGGTTCTGTCCCTCTGGAGAACCCTGACTAAAACACCTACTCTAGGGGATGTTTTGAAATGAACATCCAAGGGCAAAGGGAAGGCAATGGACTGACAGGCCGGATGTTTTCACATATGTAATCTCATGTGCACAGACAATTACAGAGGTTTAGTGGGTTGAAGTGTTGAGCCTAAAAAGCAGAAAGTGAAGCTGAGGCTGAAACTCTACTCAGGGGTAGGGGGAGTTGAGTAAAAGCTGGGCAGTTTCCATTTTAACCAAGAGGACTACAGGAGCTCACCATGGGTCTGTGGGCAGGAGAGGGCACACTCCAGTGGTGTCTGAGGCTGTTGCTTCCAGAAGCCTGAGGCAGACCAGCATGAGCTGAGTACAGGATGTAAAGGAACAGAAGAGGGATCCATCAAGTGAGGGGGCAGGGGCAGGAGAGGCTGGGCAGACAAACGTGGGCCCCAAAGGATTCAGAACCCAGTCCATGGCAATTCCCTCCCCTGCAGCCCCAGTCAGGGTGTAATGGCCCAAGTCTGCCCTTTGGGATGCTGGCCTCTGAGAAGGGAGGTCATTGAGGGGAAGAGGCCCAGGTTGGGAGAAAGAAGGCTGTGCAGGAGGCTTCAGGAGTCCAGTTTTCTAAGGTACTGAGGAGCCACCAGGAGCACAGAGGCAGGCTTTTTCCCAATCCTGCTCTTTCATACACCACCCCACTCCCAAAGGAGCCCGCCAGACTGGCCACAGCTAGAATCTGTAAGAGACGCCAACATAACACAGTCCTGGGAAACCAGCTCCGTCAGACATGGCTCCTGCTACCGCGCCAGAGTGCCTTGACCTGGCTTTTACACATAATCCCACAGCAGTGGTTCTCAGTGCCTCTCCATGCCAGCAGCACCCGCAGACTAGCTGGTACAGCGTTAGAAACCTAAATTATTGGCCTCACCAAACCCACTGAACTGGGAACTCTGGGAGTGGGGTCTAGCAGACTGTTAAGTCCACCAGAAGCAAGGCTAGATGCTGTCATTTTGAGGAACCAGTGAACTCAGAAAGGCCTAAACCATGCAGTCCCATTCATTTTCGTTTTGACAGAAGTGACCCATCACACTGTTCTGAGGTTTTCCTACAGGACAATTGTCAATGAAGAAATCATTTGTTTGGTCACCGTAGGCGTGTGTGGGCCGATTTAAAGGTGTGTCTGCTCTAATAACAATTGTTTTCAGAAACTTTTGAAGCACTATAACAATCCCACCTCCCAAATGTTAAGTTGTTGATTAGGAGTGGTTTTTAGGCCTTTATTAACTAACATTAATCTTCACAGCATTCCTTTTGCATTTCCTGATGTGGATCTCAGGCAGGGACTGACTGAGACTTGCTTTTGTGCCCAGTTTGTTTGGCTGTATATTCATAGTGCCCAGGCAGCAGTAGGTGCTGCTTTACATATCTGCTAAATAAATGAATCTAGGTAAGGCTGGCATTCTCATGATTCTGATTTTGCACAAAAGAAAGCAAAGGCTCAGAAGACAGAAGTATTTATAAATTGTGCCCTGCCTCCCTGCCTGAATAAAGGGTGCAAGGCTGTCTCAGAGCAGCTGGGATCCACGCCACAGGTGGCGCAGCTAGCAAACAACTGACTCAGCATTCTCTTCTAGATCTGCTAATGCAGAAGAACTTTGGGTTTAGCTGTGACTGAGAAAATGCCCCTTCCCTAGGGGAGAAGAAACACAGTTTTCCTGCACAAGCCAGTCTATAATTCCAAAGCACTTTCCCTCCAGTTGCTTGTAGGTGACTGAGATATGGTCGAATCTAGACCAAGTCACAAAATCGCTGATATCCATTGTGCGGAGGTATCCACTAGATGCCACGCTGGGTTAAAGAGCTGAATCTTTAATCGAGGTTTTGAGGGGAGATGTGTGACTTCTCTTCAGTAGATTAAATGTAGCATTAAACATCCTCTGTAATAAACCGTAATTTTCTTGGGATTGGACAGGAAGGCAAGTATTCCTGAGATAGCTTTCTCTGAGGTTGTCACCTTGGATGCTGGATCTGTCACAGAAAAGGAAAAGTCTCCTGGCCTATGGACTTCATGACACAAACAGCTGTATCTTTGTGCTTCTCTACAGCACAATCTAGCACTATAATGCACCGGCATGGCATCTTTGGTGAATGCATGCTCCTGTACATGAACCGCCTAGGAGGGATGAGGCGTGAACTGAGCCATAACTTGGAGAGAGCTTCGAAAGAGAAAGGCCTCTCTCCTCTGCTCTGCATCAGGAGTTGTTCTTTCAGACTGATTTTCAGGTCGGGACTGAAAAAAGAGGTGTGAAAGATAAAGCTTGCCAAAAAGGTCTTTTACTTGATATATACTATGACTTAGTGTTCACATTGGGTTAGGGTTATTATTTCAATTTCTCTTAAAAAATTGACACAACTAAGGCTCAGAGAAGTTATGTTTTATCTTGAGGTCACACAGCAAGGTGGCCTGGGCTCAGGTCTCTGAGCCTGAGCTCCTTGCTTATGCTTCCCTCCTGCACATTCTGGAGACCTCTCTCTTTCTCTCTCTCTCTCAACTCCCAGAGACTCAGACTCTGACAGGATCCTGAGGGATTCCTGCCAGGAGTTGCCATCTCTGGAAGCCCCCACCCCCATGCCGGGCTTAATCTTTTTCTGTGGAGTGCGGGCCTGGGAGCTAGGGTGAGGCCTGAGCCCCATTTCAGGGCTTTCTGTAGAATCTGTTGCTGCTGTTGCCTCCAGTAGAGTCTGTTTCAGGAAGAGGTTTGCCTGCCTGCGCGGGACAGCGGTGCCATTCATCACTGCAGGAGGGCAGAATCCGGGGTTGGGGGCCACGTCGAGAGGAGGGCCAGGGCGGCCCCTGTGACCAGCCCTGAGGAGAGGTCAGGAGAGAAGGCTGGCTGAGGAGCGCCTGGACAGCAGCAGCTGCTGACGCTCTATATCACGCGCCTGGGCCCAAGGTAACCCAGACCTAAACAAACCGGGCTGGGGGCGTTGCAGGGGCAGAGAGGGAAAAGGGAGTGGGGACTGGGATCGCTGAGGATGGTGGTGGCTCTGAGGTGGTGCAAATGCCTGAAGGGAGGAGTAGTAATCCGACTCCCAGGAGAATCGTAGGAATTGGAAGTCGCAGAAGCAAGAAAAGGGGTGAGAGCACAAGAGCGAAAAAAAGCGGGAGAGGGCGCAAGAGCTGGGCGGACCGGGAAAGTGCGCTGAGGGGCAATGAAGTATGGAACACACTCGGGGTCAAGAAAGTATAGGGATATGTAGGAGCAGAGGACACTTTCTTCCTCTGAGTTCATTTTCCAAAAAGTGCGCCTTTTCAGCCATTTTTGAGAGAAAAAATGTTGACTCCAAGCGTTTTTAGGATACAGGGAAAGAACGTCAGGAGGAAGCTGCACTGGTGTTTAGGTTGCAAAGAGGGCGCAAAAGCAGACAGAGGTGGCGCCTTTTTAAAGAAGTTTCCATCCTTTCTGTCCTAAAGCCCAGGCCGCTCCCACCCCACCGCCGCTAGCCTCTGCTCCCAGTCCCTGGCCCCTGCATGATCTGAGCGCTCTTTAAAGCAGGTAAACCGCCTCGTCTCCCCATCAGCCCAGGGCCTCTCAGTTGGAGTGGGTGGAGCGGCAAAGGCCGCGGGCTGAGCCTGGGCGGGCCGGGCGGGAGGGGTCCTGGGGGCGCTAATCAGTGCACTGCGCCATGACGCTAGGCAGATCATTCACAGAAGTCTGTCTCGTTTCATCTACAGTCGCAGCTCGTTTGCAGACGCCTTGCTTCTCAGGTCTAGCAGTGATCTGATGGCCCAGGTTCGAGAAACTTCTTTGCCTCCGGCCCTGGAGCCCGCCTGGATCTCCCGGAGGTGGGGGAGGAGCCTGAGAGGAGGCGTGTGTTGAGAAGGGGAAATGGAGGCGGCGGCGGCGGGGCGACGAAGGCGCCTTCGGGACGGGAAGCTGAGGAGATGAAGCTGAGCCATTACAGGAGCCTCTGGCCTGTGCCGGAGGAGAACGGACGTGACCAGCAGCGGCGGCGACGCAGGCGTGCCCTTCAATCCCCTTCGCTGTCACAGCGCCTCACCTCGCTTGCCCGCGCCGCAAGCCCCGCCTCGCCGGCCCCAGCCCCGCCCGCTCCCGCGCAGGCCAGCCTGGGCCTCTGGCCCCACCCCGCTCCGCCCGGCCCCCTGCCTCTGCTGCCACCCTGCCTCTATCCGGCACCGCGGCCCAGGGCCTGGCGGATCTCAAGGCAGACCCTGACCTGGGTCCAGGCCTCAGGACGGAGAAGCTGCTCTGGGTGACCCTAGACGGGTCGGGATCCTGGGCGCTTAGGGACTGGTTGCTGGAGGTCGACTTTGGTCAGGGTCCTACAGGCTGCTCCTCATGTGGAGAGCTTTAAAGTAGGTGTAAGAACTGGCAGAAGAACCTGAGGCTGATCTACCAGCGTTTGCTGGAGTGGGACCCCAGAGACTAGGAAACGTAAAGCAAAAGTCATGCATCTGTCATGTATGTAGTACCCATATGAATAGACTCCACTCTTGTCTCTCCTGTGTCTTTTTTGGCTGCTTCACTGAGAAACATATCTACAAACATGCAGAAACAAAGCAGCACCATTTAGCTGTAGATGTTTATCATGGGGTCATATATTGCTTCATGTAAGGATTATAAAGTAATATGACAAAGACAGGAACAGATTGCCAAAGAAACAAAAGAAAAATTTTGAGATTAACTTCCACCTCAACAGATGTTTCTCATCAACAGTTTATGAGCATCAGGAATGAAGACAAGCAATCAACCTGTGAGAGACAAAGGAACAGGAGCCAAAAATTGGTGAAACCCAAGAAAAAGAGAAGAAAAAGTCAGTCTATACTGTAGGCCTGAGAGGGCTGAATCATCTGGGGAACACTGAGCGGCGAATTGTATTGTCCAGGCACTTACCTATTCCTCACTGGAAAGATTTCTTCCTCTCTGACAAGCTAATAAATGTATATAAATGACAAGCCCCAGCTTGTGTCTGGTCTGTAAATGTCTTCGCTTTTCATGCTATACTCTGGGAGCCGAACTCCCTACATTCCCTATGTTACTGCATCTGATGCGGATCCGCGAGAACATTTAGCAGGGTACAGCAGCAGGATGCCCATGAGTTCCTTTATTGCAATATTAGATGTGCTGTATAGACACAGCAAAGATGATAGTGGTGTGCAGAGGCCAATAACCCCAACCGCTGTAACTGCACTCAGACCAAATCTACAGGTGGCCTGTAATCGATGTCACATGTCAAGCCTGCCAGTGTTTCCACCACCATAGACCCATGCTGGGACATCAGTTTGGACTTGCCTGGCTCTTTGTGCCATCTGGATTCCCAGAACCCAGAGAGGGCTGGATGGCACAGGAGCAGGATGACCACATACCAGGAATCCCCCTCACCACAGACTGCCTACAGTGGTTTATAAGGCCAGAGCACCTAGAAGCAGTGCCAAAATCAAATGCAGAGCACAGCTACCAGGAGTTCACTAAACAGCCAAGCAATGAAAAAAATTACCCATTGTGGCTTGTTTTCATCTCAAGTGGCTTGAGCATGAAAACAGAGGCGAAAGATTAATAATTTTTATCTCCTTTCCCTTGAGCTGACATGACTCGTTGGCCTCCACTAAAGAGAGCAGAATGAAAAGAAGGCCAGCCACCAGCAAAGATTGTGTGCCCAATGAGAATAAGTATTCCTTGTTTTAGTGATTAATCACCATGGAACTTTTGGAAAGTGGGCTACTATACCAGCTTTATCCGCAACAAAAGGACTAGGTTCAGCTGTGATGATGCCATCATCACCAAGGCTAACCATTGAGGACTTTACTTTAATAGTGAAGGGCATTTACTCTATCACAAACAGGGTCTAGAGAAAGACTAGTCTTACCAGACCACTTACTGAAGAAAAGTAAATGATTAGGCAAGGATTTTGAAGTGACACAATAGACCTACTTGGAATGGACAATGACAATAACACCTATATGACAGCTAGTATCTTGATGTAAAAAGAACCTATTTAGCATGGCCCATGGGTCTGCAGGAAGAAAAAATGAATATTTAACCAGTGACCATTCAACCTTAAGAAATGGGGAGAGGGAGAAGAGGTTGAAAATGGTCACATAAAGCATAATGAAATGAAAAGAATACTTTAGGTGGGGACAATGGGAGTAGAGGTGTTCTGATGCTACTATGTCATTTGTTTCTACAGAAATATCTTGTGAAGTCAGGGAGTATTCCTTTATCAGCAAAACTCACAATTGGTGTTCCAGCTGTGGCTGACCAGCCAAATAGTTTGAAAGAAAATTAATATTTTAAAATAAAGTTTAAAAAGCTTTAAAAGAAAAACATTTAAAAAGGAAAAAATCATTTTTAAGGTTTTAAAAGAAAAAAATTTTAAATGTTGAAAAAATTTAAGTTTGATATTTTTAAATAAATATTTTAAAAGTTAAAAATAATTTTTTAATTCTAGTAGTTTCAGAATTTTAAAATTAAAAGCAAATTAAATTCTTAAAGTTTAAAAATGTAAAATACAAACGTTAAAAATGAGTTTACCAAAAAAGGAAGAAAATACTGTTAAAATTAAAGTTAGAAACAAAAGAACATCTTAAAAGTTTCAAATGAAGGAAAATACATAAATAGAGTTATTTCAAATTAAAGCATAAAATATACATATTTAAAAGTAAGCACAAAATTACTACTATAATGATTAAGAAATAAATTGAAAAATACAGAATGGAATGCAATTCAATTTTAGAGAAAAGTTTTAAAAGAGGAAAGTTTAGAATAATTCAATACAAAAAGACAAAATTGTTTTAAAGACAAAATTGAAAATATAGGAAGAAAATAGAGACTTATAAAAAAGAACCTTAGATAAGTTCAATTCAAGAGATTTAAATGAAAATTTTAAATATTTAAATAAAGATTTAAAAATTTAAACTTAAAAAAGTTACATAAAATTGACAAATGTAAAGATTCAAGTAGAAAATTATTAAAATTAAAAGTTTAAGAAGTTCATTTTTTTATTTAAACATATTAAAATACAGACGGGTATGAAAGAAATGGAGGAGACAGGAATAACAAGACAGCGGTGTGAGTAAGATATTTTTTGAGCTTTATGTTGATATATCAATATACTTTGCAAAAGGAACAGACATTTTAATCATTATCTTACCATCCAATTGTGAGATGGCTGCAAGGCTCAAACACTCAACTCCACCTTCCTTGAGATTCCATGCCCCATCTCATATCCTGAAGGAAGTCGAATTACTTCCTAGGCAGAATCAATTCATCTGAGAAAATGAAAACATTGTGGGACTTTTCCATTTAGAATCAGTACTATTCATACAAATTCTTAGCTTCTGAAAAGGGGCTTGATAATTTGGTGGCTTAGGGAAGTTAGATCACAGCTAAAACTCTGGCTTTGGTATTTGAGCCCCATGGCCTGACTGAGGAAGTGGCAGGGACCCATATCTGAGGCCCTCCCACCTTCCTTTTTCCCTTCCTCCAAGGGGAAACAAGACTCAATTTAAGCAGAGCTATGGGCTTGTGCTTGCAGTCCTTCTGCTCATTCGTTATTCCCTCTTTATTTCCCCTTTTTGTCACTCATACCTAGTTCCCTGAACCCTCACTTACCTGGCCTTACCTACATCTCTGAGCCCCAGCCTGCAGTGGCTCCTCTCTTTGACTATTCACCTGGTGGCTTTACCTCCTCAAGACCCAACTCAGATGACTTCTGTAGCCTTCTGAATGCTCTAGGCAGGTATAAAATGAGAAAATTGTTCCTCCCTCGCCCTCTTATCCCCTCTCACTGTGCCTCCAAAGTACTTTGTCCATACCTCGGCATAGTAACACTTCTATCTCTACTGTGATTTTATTGTAGCTTGGTGTGATTGTCTGCCCCTCTGCACTGGAGCATCTGAGACCAGGGCTGCTCCCTACCATTTCTGTGTTAATAAATATTTGTTAAATGTGAAGATGAGTTCAGTTATTTGCTCTATTCACCTTGTCAGTAATGTTTTTCACCTTCATCCATCAGGCTGCCATTAAATGCCCAGTGCTATAATACAGTGTGATCAGTATTGTATTTTACCCCAAAGCAGGGTATTAAAAGCACTCAGCTGCAGGGGCTGGCTAAGAAGGTATTGGTGAGAAATAGCCAGGTGTGTGAGGAGGCCCAGGTGTACAATGCAGAGAAAAGAGAGCACAGGCCTGGAAGTTGGCAGTCAGGAAGACTCTGGGTGGGAAGAGGAGCAGCAATCGCAGAGGCTGAGCTCTCTGGCATGGCGTGTCCACACTGCCCTCATCACAGTGTCCTCAGCAGCAGTGTTCCCCACAACTGTGTACCACACTTCTAGGTTTAATACATTAGTTTACCTTTCCCCATGAGAGACAGTAGTACCTCACCACTGCGCAGTGTTCTTCATCACACCCACATCATCACTCTACAAGGGAGTGATGTCTGGTGACTGTGTTTATCAAAGAGCTGTAGTTTATTTTTCTGCTTAGCACCCTCATTTTCCCACCATTCTTTGTGGAATCTTATTGGGGCTACTGATCACTTTTCCTTGCCTCTGTCACTCCCACCCCAGGGTGGGCACGTTACACAGGCTGGGCCAGATTAGAGTTCTCAATTCCCGGTCCTCTACCAATAATTTCCCACAAGAGCATTTCTTCTGAGGGTGGGCATAGGGCCCAAGTAGGGCCAATCAGAGTCTATTGCTAAATTGAATGTATATGGACACTGGAAGAAAATACGTGTCTCCCTCCTGACCCCACCCCCAAGCTGTAGTCACTATGCTATGATGACTCTGATTTCGGACTTTGAGAGGTTAATATCTATAACACAAAGAGAAAACCAGAACTGAGATTGGGGAGAAAGAGCCTAGGAACATCGTTTGAACCTTGTGGATCCAGCTGTGCCAAGTGCCAAAGTTCCCAGCTATCTGAGCCAATAGAGTCCTTTGTTTTGCTTAAGCTAGTTTCAGTTGGGATCCTGTCATTTGCAGCCAAGGGTCTTGAACATACTAACCAAGCTATACGATTAGTGCAGCATCAGTTCCTAAGACCACAAAGCATGAGAGAAAAGGAAGGAGGAGTGACCTTGGATGAACATCACATAAAATTAAGAAACCAGTGAGTCCCTGTACATCTTTAAGAAACAAGTGTCAGCTCAGCCACTGACCTATGCTAGACTTCAAACCTTACAGCAATGAAATACTTATTCCAAATAAAAGGGAAAAAACGGCAATAATGTTATATGAGTACTGATTTAAAGCAGGCACTGTGTTAACTGCTTACCTCCGATTATCTCACTGGGTCCTGGGTCCTCGTGATTTCTGGGAGACAATCATTACTGAACATATTTCACAAACTGGGAAAGTGAAAATCAGAATAGAAAAGTGATTTGCTTAAGTTCACTCTACTGTTCTAATCAGTGAAGCCATTATTCAAATGCAGGTCCCCAAAGCCCATGCATGTCCCATCATAATCCAGTATAGATAATTCAAATATATATATTTTTGCTTTTTGTGACTTTGCTATGGAAGACAGCATAAACCAGCATGGTACAGAAGGGCAACTTCTGACAAATCTGGATGCAGGTAACCTGCGAGGAGAGAGTAACCTATCAACTACACAAAGTTGCCCATGCTGCAGGTGTATTTGTTTTTGTGGAAATGGCTGATTCAGATAGATCAGGCTAAACGACTTTCCTAAGGATAATAATGATGGATGAGACCAAAATATTACCCCCAATATAAGACACATAGCCTCACTCAATACTATATGCCAGGCTGAGCACCAAGACCTGACTGTAAGATCTCAATGTTTTTGCTATCTGTAAAACCACCCAGCCTTTAGTCACACAAGAATTCTTTTCTAACTTCAACACCATAGCCATCACTTTGTCACTTTTATCACCCTCTCGATCCTCCCAAAATGCCCACAACACCAGCTCTTCCAACAAGCCTGGGGAGGGACTTACGTGCTGGGACTCATCCAGGTGGTCCAACACTGATTTGCAATGTATAGCTTCTGTTGTTTCTGAATTGCTTTCAGTTCCTTTACCTTGATTCTCTTCCAAACACACAGTAGTGGCTTACCCGGGCCAGGGCCAGATCTATGTGTTTATAAATCCCACAGGCCTACCACAGTTTATGGCAGGTACTTAATACGCTGGCTGAATGAATATGAATGAACAAATGAAGACATTCCATTCTACACTCTAAGCCTCAGCTTCAGCAGGCACTCTATGTCCTATTTTCTGAAATCAAAAATCCTACAAGAATGCCTGATTTACCCATGTCTACACACTTAAGTTTCCATCCATCCTGTATGCCTTCACTATCATTTCATAAAGAAAAGGAATACTGCTTCTTTTTGAAGCTGCACCCACTAGCCTCCTTCTTTCTAATCCATTCCTAACAGCCTGAGGGCCTTACCCCACACACTTTCTCTGTTCCAGTAACAGCCATGTTTTCGCTAGACAGATAAAAACTGGTGCTAAATTCAGACATCCTGTAGATTTTCTATGGTAGTTCCTCAAAATGTTGTCCCATCATCCCTGTAAGAGGAAAAAGTCTCCAAATCCCAGTACTTTCTCTAGACAGATGTTATCCCCAGAAGCAAACCTGAGTCTGCTTTAAAATCCAGATTTGGGTTCTCATGTTTAAAAGAAAAATACATTACCTTTGCTCCCCTTCCTTTCACTGCCAAACTCTTTCTCATGTGTTTTTCATACACCATTTCACTTACCTCCCACTCCACTTTAGTTCCCTGCATTCTGGGTTTCAGCTTGTTCACTTGTTGAAAACTACTTATTAAGTTAAAATGACTTATTTTTTCAAAATCTTCTTTATTTTACTAATATTTTATCTATTTAAT